CCCCAAAACCCCAAAACCCCAAAACCCCAAAACCCCACTAAATAAGACGATTATTGAAATTAGTTATCTGATGAATGCTTCAATGTACTTCCTTTCCAGTTCTGTTTCGACCAGTAGGAAGTATGGAGGGCTCTTTGGAGATTCCTGGCGTTTCTCAAGTACCCCATCAATGTAGATGTTGAACTTGGTCAGAAGTTTGACATACTTTTTAAGAATTTCACAAGATTTCTCATTTTTGTATAAATTCACAGGTTTGTTTCCACCGAAAAATCTATCACATTTTCCTTGGAAGGAATATAGCAAAACTTTATAGAACTGAGCAGTGTGCTCCGTTGAGTCATCCTTGACTAAAAACTGCAGCATGTAGATTAGTTCTGACTTATTCTTACAAGTTGGACAATAAACTTGATTGCTTTTGGTCTCTTCATCTTGTAAATCATGTGTGACCAGATTCTTGAGGCTGAAAGTATCAACTCATACATGACAAAATCCTTGCACAAACTCTCGAGCATCGTAAGGCTGAACATTGAGGATATAAAATTTTGCTCTAGCAATATTCCCATCCATTCTATTTCCGTGGTAGATCTCGAACAAACTTGTGATTGGTAAAGTCTTATGCATATCAGTGACTTTTGAAATGTATCTTCTATGGTCAAGGATTTCCTTCTCTTCATCACACAGCATCATTCTTAAGATTTTCTCATCAAGAGTCACCTCATCCAATAACTGATGAGACAGTTTTGAAGTCTTCAGGAATTTCATAATGTTTGACTTTGGCTGGATATGAAGCTCAAGTTTAGATCCTCTGTAAGAATCTATTACGGCAGATCTAATCCTGATTACATCATTAACATGTAGGTCCCATTGGTCCTTCTCTCTGACAGCCATTTTGAACAAGACACCGGACTGGTCTCTTAGGCTAAGTTTGGCTCGGCCAACGTACTGAGTCTCAATAGCTACAACCTGGCAGTGAACATCAATCTCTCCAGATTTCTTCTCCTTAACTTTATCAAGAGTTGTGAACATGTCAGATGGAAAGCCGATATTCTTGCTGAAGAAATCATTTGACCAATCTCTAGTACCTTGAAGTAACTTTTCTTCATCTTTAGTGAAATCAAAGGTCTTCCTAGAACAATGATATGGCTTGTAGCGGCCAGTTGGGAAAGCTTTTAACTCTTCATTAGTCATCTCATCACCATCAAAGACTACTACCGAGGAGGAGTAATGCAAATTCACATTGAACTGCTTCATCCCTTTGTAGTATGTTCATTTAGCTTTGATGATCCTAATTATATCTCCTACCTTCTTGATCCTTGGGAGCTGTTCGGCATTGTTAGCAAATATGGTTACACAGCAGAAGGAAGTATTTGTAACTACAGTTGTTTTCTTTGAAGATCCGGTATTCACAGTTTCAACAGTGGACTCATTATCTTCTTCATCATTTGTATAGTATCAGGTAGGATCAATAATCTTCAGGGATCATACTCAGATATCAAAATTCCTGTACCCAATGGTTGCATCAAGGACAACTGCATAGAATGAATAGGAAGCGGAGGAGGCGACACTGATCTTCTCCAGAGGGGTAAACTTAATCGATCTCATCATCTTTACTATCTTTCAATTCTTGGAAGATAAACTGGGGTTTTGGGGTTTTGGGGTTTTGGGG